AAAAAAAAAAAAATTTTACTGCAAGAAAGGAAAGGGGCACAGTTTGTAGGGTAGGCTCTCAGGAAAGGGTAGACTTAATGTGCTGAGAGAAATAAGCAAGACAAAGGAGAGGCTGAAGAGGCAGGAAAGAAAAGAAATGATGAAACAGAGATGAAAGAAGACAGAAAAAGATAGAATTCAAAGTAAAGGTAGAGAATTTAAACCCAGCAAGGAGGTATGAGGGATATAGTCACAGATAAGTGTGGGGAATGAGGTGGGTTGTAAGTAGAAATTTGACAGCTTTCCCACCACATTCACATTTCTGTGTGTATAGTAGGAAATGATATTTTGTGACAAAAGGGTGGTGACATGTGACAAAAGCATGAGGAGAGTGGTGAAGTTAGAAGAGCCCTGGAGAGAAAGTAGGGAGGGACTAATGAATTAACCTGAATCCCATTATAGGAATAGAAGAGAAAAGATGCAAGTGCGTCTGTAAGAATATGTAAATATGACAAGGTAGTATCAACAGTGGGGCAGGAAACAACTACTGAAGCCCACTGTGAGAAGCAGTGATCAGCAAAAAGATGTGAATGTTGAAAAACTTGACAGGCTAAACTCACTACAAACTGATTTGGAAGACAAAGAAACTACAAGAAAATGAAGTATCTCTTTTTAAAAAAACTTATATAATTTAGTCATTTGAAGTGTCTCATTCAGTGGTTTCACCACAATTTTAGAACATTTTCATCACCTCGAAAAGAAAGCATGTACCCTGTAGCAGTTGTTCCCTCTGATTCACTAGTCCCTAATCTGCTTTCTGTATCTGTGAATGTCCCTGTTCTGGACCTTTCACATGAGTGGAATCACATGATGTGCGGTCACTTTTGGTGGGCCCTATTTTGCCCATTTTTTAAGTGGGTTATTTGCCTTTATTATTGAGTTGTGGGAGTTTCTTATTCTGGATACAAGTTCCTTATCAGAGATTTGATTTGCAAGTATTTTCTCTTATTTTGTGGGTTGTCTTTTCACTTTTATGATGTCCTTCAAAGCATGAATTTTTTTTTTTAGTTCGATGTGGTCCTATTTGTCTAGTTTTGCTTCTGTTCGCCATGCTTTTGGCATATATGTATCAGTCGAGACCCATGCGCAGGTCAGAAAGCCCTAGTATGGTGGGCGACGTGTAATTGTCAACTTCCTCCAGACTCTGTGTGAAGAGGAGACAAGGCCTTAACAGCAGAGCTGCTGACCACTCTCAAAACAGTGGTGTCTGCCACCAGAGATTTCACTCAAGTCAGTGGATTGCTTTTGTAATAATTTTCATTGGTTTTTTTGGGAGGGGGGCTGATTTGCAAAGAAATTGAGAACCTAAGTGGTTCAACACCCCCCAAACCAACTGATGTTAACTACAGTAAATAAACCACATCGTTCTTTGTGCATTTATGGTGCTCTTGGAATTGGCAGATGAGCATTTTTTATTGTAGCTATTTATGAGTTTTACATAGTAGCTGGTAGTTAGGCGGAGGCCTTTGTTTGAGTTGCAGTCCTGGTGTGTGAGAGCAGCTTCCCAAGCCCAGCACTTCTTAACAGATCTTCAGCATCCCAACCGATGTTCAGTGATACATGTCTTATTTAGGTCCCTAACGTAATTTCTTGCTAGTCTGCTCTCTTCCTACTATTAAAAATATCACTTTGCTAACTCATTCTGGTTATTTTCATTGTAAACACGTGAGTGTCTACTTTATGGTAAGCCAGTATATTTATACTTTTGTGGTTTGTTTTCCTTTTTATTTTTTTATTTTTTTTTGAGACGGAGCCTCAAGCTATCCCCCTGGGTAGAGTGCCATGGCATCATGCTCACAGCAACCTCCAACTCCTGGGCTCAAGCGAGTCTCCCAAGTAGCTGGGACTACAGGTGCCCACCACAACGCCCAGCCATTTCTTGGTTGCAGCCATCATCATTGTTTGGCGGGCCCGGGCTGGGGATACGAACCCGCCACCCTAGGTGTATGTGGCTGGCGCCCTAGCCGCTCGAGCCACAGGCGCCAAGCCTGTTTTCCTTTTTAATTGGAAACAACAACTAATATTGTTTTCAGGATAAGAATATATGTACAGTGGTTTCTCACATAGTAGGCACTCAATAAATGACTATTACTACATTTATTTGTAATGAAAGCATCTTGAAGGCGAATTCTATTTTTCAGAGTTTTTTTTTTTTCTGCTAGGGAGCCAGACACATACACCAGAGCTGGCAGGTTTGACCCCAGCCTGGGGCCTGCCAAACAACAATGACAACTATAACCAAAAAGTAGGCAGGCGTTGTGGTGGGCAGCTACTTGGAAGGCTGAGACAAGAGAATCACTTAAGCCCAAGAGTTTGAGATTGCTGTGAGCTGTGACACAACAGCACTCTACTGAGGGAAACATAATGAGACTCTTGTCTCAAAAAAAAAAAAGTGTTTTTTTTTTCTGTTGGTATTAATGTTCAATAAATCTTTTGAAAGTGTTCATTCTCAGAATGAATGTCTATTAATTCCATTGTCATTTCAGTTCAGCTCTTATCTGCTGTGATGGAGACGAGGGAGTGACACAAATGAGACTCTCTGGAAACTTAATTTGGCTTAAGAATGAATTAACAGGACTATTCTCTTTCTGAACAGCAGCTTTACCATTCTAATTATGTTTGTTTAGATTAAAACTAGGGCAGTGTGAAAATAATTTGCATTGTTTGAAAACACAAATGATATGAAAGGAGATAGATTAGAGGCCAAGGGGAAAAATCACAGTGGTGATAAAAAAGCAACAGTTTGATACACCCAGCTGGTTCCTCAATGTATTCGTTAGTTGTATGCGATAGTTACTTGAATATTTGAAAATATTCATGGATGAAACTTCTCAAAGAGGTGAAAGACTTCAGAGCCTTTCCTGCTCTCCATGTCATCCTTTAAAATCCTGTTTAGGTTGCCCTGTGTAACTTCTGGAAAAACCACTTGTAATCTTAATGTTTTATGAAGTCAAAATGCTTTTCCCACAAGGGTTTAAAATAGCTATTACATTTTGAGTCTGACCCCGATGAAAGATGAGTGTGTGTCTTTCCAGGAGTTGTGGAAGTTGGCATTGTCTGACATACTTTCTGGGCACAGTTTGTTTTTTGGGTTCTTTTTTCCATGGGTATTCCAAATATATTCCAAATAAATCAGAGCTTGTTATTGAAATGGGAGAAAATAGCATTACTGTAAAGCTGATTAGATAGTGCTGGAAAGAATTTTGCCATCCAATTGGAAATCTTTTTCCAGTTTGTTAACCTTTTTAAGATTCCTAAGAGCTATTTTTCTTTCCAACTTTCAGACATGAAATTCATTCTGAGGTCAGTATGGCCATATCTAGGGAGAAGAGAAATTAATAGCTTTGGCTTTATAATTCTTCTAATATTCATCTTACACTTCAAAGAAAATGTTCACTGAATATTTTAAGTGCCACTGTCAATACCATTTTGCAATATGTATTTGTGTTAGGTTAAAAATTATCTTCTGAGAGATTGTAATTGCTGCTTCTCAACCCAGTGCTCACTACGGCTCTTTTCAAACATGGAGTAGCGGTCGCACTTTCCTAGGCCGGCTGTTGAAGTGTGGTCAGTGCTCTCCCGTGGCTCTCTCGAGGGCCTGTCTTCCTTACGATCTGTTACCATTTGTGCACAGTAGTATACCTGCGTATTTCAGGATATGAATTATAATTTATTTCACATGACACACCTTATTCCAGAGTTTTATTGAAAAAAGTCATCTTCTTTATTGTTGGGTGACTTTTCTGTAGTGATAAAAAAAGATGGGATAATCAGTTCCTTAAGTTCTTTTGCTTAACTACAAAGGACCTCAAAAAAAAACTTTGACGTTCCATGAGAATGAGTCTTGCATTTTGGTCTTTCCCAAATAAGTACTTAGGAAATATTTAAATGCCTTACGATCTCTCTGCATCTATTTCTAATTTCTAAATACCTTAATGTCTCCCGGTATCTGTTTCATCATATTTCCTCATGTCAGGAAAAGAATGAAAACACAAAAGGAAAATCTGTTACTGTTATTTAATGGTAAAGAGAAATATTCTACTCTAATTTCAATCTTACTTGAGAGCTTTGTTTCAAATGTAGTTATTCAGACTTTTCATTAAATTATAACTTAAATGAGAACAATTTTACATAATATGTAAGTGTGCATTTAGGTTTTGTTTGTTAAAATTATTCTTTTTTTAATACTAGGCATGAGTGTTATAGTTTTTGTACCTGTGAAGGAAATTTAGTTTTATTTTGTATTTAACCTGTTAATGCAGTGTATTAATAGATTTCTTGTTATTGAAGCATGTGCCTAACATTAACTCTATTTGGTGAATTCTTTCTTAAAATAATCTGTTCACTAATTTTAAAGAAGCTCTTTCACTGTAAAGATTTGGAAAATGCCCAGAACCTATAGCCTGTTTTTGATTTGCAAGATTGAAGGACAAAACAAGCTTTAACAGTATTGAACCTAAAGAAAAGATAGCTTTTTATCCATCTAGTACAGGGGTGTCCAACCTTCAGCCCACAGTGTGCAGAAGATCTGAGGCCCGTTTTGCTCATCTGGTGTCAGATATCACAAAAAGTGTGCACAGACTTTTTTTTTTTTTTTTTGCTCCTGAGCTTTTGTTAGTGTTTTGTGTGTTTAATGTGTGGCCCAAGGCAACTCTTACTGTTCAGCAGAAAAGAAAATGGTTTGGACACCCCTGGTCTAGTGCTTTATTATACAAAAGATATTCTCTGTTTCTTTGGATTTTCTGTTAACAGATACTCCCTTCGAAGAGGTAGCTCCTTCACTTTTTTAACACCTGGCCCCCACTGGGACTTCTCTTTGGTAAGTAGATACCTGAGGTTTTTATTTCAAGGTATTAGATAGAATTAATTGAATTAATTCCTGGGTTGTCTTTCAGTCTGAGGGTACAGCTCAATACTGTACTTCCGTCTGGACTTCTGAATATCTCAACAGAATTTTTGGAGCCATCCTTCACAGCTTTATTTAGTCTATTTTTGCTAATAAGCTATAACAAATTTTTATTTCAAATAAATATGAAGCATATTTTCCAAAGTAATCATATCTATTAATCTTTAACTCTGTGGAATCCTTTCTCTTAATCTTATCAGTGTTAAATTTAAGAGTATGTATTGTGAAACATGAAGTTATTTTTATGTCTCTTCTTAAACAGCTTTTTCTTTGGGGAAAATATAAAAATGCTGATTGCAGATAATATATATGTAATGAATGAATTATTTTCTGTTATTAATCATTTCAAAATACAGGAACTATTTCATTATTTTTAGACCAAGACTGCAGAAATATTTAATTTTGTGTGAAATGACAACAGAAAATTGATTCTTTTTGTACTCAAAGCTTATTAGCTTATAATACATTTATAAGTAAATTATGTACAAACATTCTTATGGCTTTTTTATGGGAGAAGTAGTAAAAATGATTCTGTTTCTAGTTTCTCACATATTGTGTACATGTTTTGATGTTATTTGGGTTTCAACAATACATACTCAATTTGTGTTCTTTTCTTTTGTTTTAAGTATGTATTTCTATTGGGCGTTCTTGTTTGATGTTTCTAAACAGTTATACCCATTATCTATAGTCTCTGGCCAGTAAAGTATTCTTACCAAGAGTCTCGTGATTCTCATGGGGTTCTACATTTCTCCTTTAAAACGTGTCCTGTCTTGATCCCTGTCACCACAGATAGATGAGCCTAAATTTAACCAGAAAATCTTGAGTATAGAAAGGTCTCCAGGCTCAGTGCCTGTAGCTCAAACAGCTGGGCGCCAGCCACATACACTGGAGCTAACAGGTTCGAATCTAGCCCAGGCCCGCCAAACAACAATGACAACTACAACCAAAAAATAGCACCGCGTTTTTGCAGGCCTGTAGTCCCAGCTACTTGGGAGGCTGAGGCAAGAGAATCGCTTTAAGCCTGAGAGTTTGAGGCTGCTGTGAACTGTAACACTACAGCACTCTACCTAGGACCACAGCTTGAGACTCTGTCTCAAAAAAAAAAAAAGAAAGAAAGGTCTCCAAACTTTTGATTATAGAAACCTATCAGCAAAAAATATTTTGAACTTGTACTCCTACTATAACTTAAATAACTTAAAAGTGTATATATACTGGCATTGTGAGCTAATTGTATCCACTTAGTGTTAATGCTGGTGAGCATAGATCTATATTTCAGATAGCCATGACAATTTCAGAGTTCGGGGCTGACTTCTTACTGAGTCTGATTAGATCCTTTTTGTTTTTAACCCTGTAAGTGATGAAATTATTAACTGTATATTTATTTAAAATATATAAAAAAGAAGTTCCAGTATTTTCCTCCTGTACTCCAGGAACAATATTTTGCTTACCTTCTCAGATGGTGCCTCCCACTTGGGAAGACACTTTGGTAGACATCTTCATGACAAAAGAAGTATCTCATGGTTTATCAAAACTTTTGGAATATTGTTGAGGAGTACAAAATTACTTAGAGGGTGATTTATAAGTTACAAGTATATAGTTTGAGAAAGAATAAAAATTAATGAATTAACCTACTAATTCAAGAGATTATAAAAAGAGCAATAGAGAAATTAAAAACAGAAAGAAAGGTTAACAGTGGAAAAAAATTAAATCAATACCCAATCATGATAAATTCAGCAAACCAAGAGTAGGAGAGAATTTCCTTAGCCCTGGGACCTAAAGAAAGAGTACGTGTGATGGTAGAGTGTTAGAAATATTTCTTTACACTGAGAAAAAAGCCTGCCCTGGGCGGTGCCTGTGGCTCAAAGGAGTAGGGCGCCAGCCCCATATGCCGGAGGTGGTGGGTTCAAACCCAGCCCCCACCAAAAAAAGAAAAAGAAAAAAGCCTGCCATTGTGGGGTCTGTTTAGCAACATAATAAGCCGAGGCAGTAAGACAGAAACAAAATAGGGTAAACAGATTAGAAAGGAAGGCACACTCCTGCTTTCATGACTTACTGTGGTTGTCTACACAGAGTATCCAAGAGCCTCTTAGTTACGGATATTGAACTAATGAGAGGTTACTGGCTACAAGAATCATAAAAAGAAACCAGTAGAATGTACATATAGTCATAATAAACAATAAAATGTAATTTTAAAGATCCTTCTACCAAAATAGGAATAATTTTTTAAAACTAGGAATAAATCTATTATAAAATGTATGAGACTCCTCCCTTTGTGGGGAAAATTGGAAACTATTAATGAAGAACATATGATAATTAAATGGAGAGAGATACTATATTTGTGCAAGGAAAGACTCAGTATCATAAAAATGTCAGTTCTTTGTGAATTACTCCATAAATTTAGTGCACAATTCATGTGGAAGAGTAGAAGGCCTGAAACCACAGAAGCCGTGTGCATGGTAGGAGCTTACGACCTGCTGTACTCAGAATCAAGACACAGTGTGATATGAGCATAGGGATAAATGAATAATAAATAAACCAGTGCTGGCTCGGCGCCTATAGCTCAACCGGC